ATCGGCTTTTATTTGTACAAGGATGCCACGTTCTTCATCTGTAGCACGCAAATCAGCTCAGAAGTGAACGTGTGTGTGTGTGAGAGAGTGCGAGTGTCCATTACTTTGAGCGCAGTATTACTAACAGTGTTAATGACATTACTGCCGCACAGCTAGTTAGCGTCTCTCCTCTTTCACCCCAGATACCGGACTACCTGTCTGTCTGTATAGCATAGCCCCTTTCAGGTGATACAATTTTACATAAACACGTCTAAAGCAGAAACAATCAGTGACTGTTTGCTTGTTTCTTTAGCTTTCTGTGATATTAAACTGAATATTTTGATTGGTCAGACAAAACAAGCAAAGTGAAAGTGTGAAGGACATTTTTTAACTTTTTTCTGACATTGTATTGACTGACAAACCGGTCAATAGATCAAGAAAATAATCTGTAATTGAAGATGAAAATAATTACTAGTTGCAGCTTTATTCACATCACATTTGAAAACCTAATAATAGTTCACATAATAGTAAGTCTTCTTATTTGGCACCAAATAACATTTCTCCATTACATTTTCTACACGGCTCAAATTAAAGTTCTCATATGTGAAGTAACTTACGAACCAATTACAAGAGACCAGGAAGTAAAGCTTTAAAAGCTGTGGCTTTACAGTACGGTTGGGCGATACGTTGATATACTGTAATCTTTTGGACAATATTGTATTTCTGTAACATTTTTGTATCAATGTCATGAAGTAGGCAGCCTATTAAATTGGATTAGCAATTTTTTTTATATTTTATATAACTTTTATAAAGATCTGACGTCAAAATTAAATATGTCCCATACAGAGATTATTATTAAATTACTTTTATCAGGTGCCGGATTCCAAATATCAAAACCCAATATCAAAGGGTGCTGGACATCAACACAACACTAAAACTCCTCAGCATTCAGCGATATGTAATGTTTACCATATACCAACAGTGAAAGGGAAACTTTAACTGTGACACAGCAAATAGTAGAGACACAAGTGTGTGAGATCTGGGTGTGGTGTGCTTTGCCCACAAACAAGATGCACCGCACAAAGCCAATCTGAGTGGCTGCCACGTCTGGCATCCACTCAGCTCTCTGGAAATTTAATTGACATCAGATTGTCCTGGGACTTTTTCTACTCAGGATGAGTCAGTGAAGACGAGACAAGTGATTGGAAAAAACCCAAAAAGATGTCTTAAGAGTGATTTTCATTATTTGATTTAAAACTGACTACTGCAGGATAAAATGACTTTGGGAAAGAAAAAAAAAAAAACTTTGGAGGGAGAAACTTTTAGTGGCGTGCTGCAGTTTGTCCGTTGAATATTGGCTTTAAGTGCTGATGTTTCACAACAGAATCCAGCTCACTGATGGAGTATTAAAATCAACCACAGGCAGCAGAAGCCAAACAGCTCAGAAACTGTGGTGAGGCCAAATTTGTTCAAGTTTTTCACGCTATCTGACTTCAGACTGCCCAGAAGGAAAAGTCTGACCTTTACCATAACTTTTGCTGCATTTTTGCAGTTCAAAAACTGCAAAAGGGAGCTCTGCAGGAACATACTGCTCCAAATCTAGAGGGTGTGAATGTGGTAATCTTGGGCAAGGCAGTCAGATTTACTGCTCCTTTAACAGGTACTGACACTTGCATTGTTGTTTGAAAGGCCTACATTGGAGTCTCGCCGGTGCTGCATTTGTACTTTGGAGGGAACCATTATTGTTTCTTTACATGTAATTATAAACAGATCTATAAAACAGGATTTCACACCTTCAAAACCAGTGGAAAAACACAGGATCGAATGCCAGCTCATTGTTCTGCTCTGACAGCATTAACACAAAGGTACAAGAGTTCAAAAAGCTTTGCTTTGTTTCTTTTCAACATAAAGTACTCTGTGATCGCAGGTGACCTTTAACAGTAAATTTAAGACTGAACGAATGTAAAAGGGGTCAAATAGAAAAGAAAAGTCTCTCCATCTAACACAACCAACTTCTTCTTTCTCAAGCTGTCCTGGAGCTTTCAATCATGCCAAATGATCTTCGGCCGAGGGAGTTTGCCCAGTTGTCATTAAATTAAATGACTGAAAGTTGATGCTTGACCTTGAACAATGTAGTCGGCAGAAAAACTCCATCTGCTGAGGAATCAAAAGACGTTGACGAGCTACTAAATGGATCTTGCGGGAGATTGTTTTGTCAACTGCCATTTCCAAGGTCAAGAATAAGCTTTGAATGTCTGCTCACACGTGAATGTGAACACCAGGCTGTTTTTAGGGGGCCGGGGCTCCCAGTACCAGTGTTACTGGTTGAAACCACTCAAGGTTTGTTTACCTGTTCTACTGTTGGTAAAACTGGTACTGCAGCCTTCACTGTAAGAGCTATTCAGGTGAAATTTGCATGGGAGGTAAAGATTGGTGCATGTACCTCAGACACAAGAAATTACATGTCTACCAGCAGGTGGCGCTATAAGCAAGCTAAGTGCGTTTTGGCCAGTATCTCCCACATAGTAGGTCACTCATCCAAAGACCTTATATGCCTACGTTCCATGAATTGAGCTGCCATCAAAATATGCTAAAAGAATGACAAACAGAACGTTTTCCAATCTCTGTGCTGACGCTTTCATTGTGCCAAGTGTGTTGGACCCTGTTAATACCGGCCTGCACAAATAAGAAAGAGAGAATAAAGAGACAGAGAAATGGTAAACAAGAGCTAACAAGTCAAGACAAGTCTCTATTCTTAGAAGATGTTTTGTATTATTGACAATCTTTCTGGCTGCATCTACGTGTGCGTATGTGTCCTCTAAGTCAACGCCAAGGCTAAATACAGTACAGTCATCTGATATTGCCTTTGATAACAGTCCTCTACCGATGAAAACCAAGCAGCCATGAGTGTAGCGTCGCTGATAGTCTACACACAAATAAACACAACTGCCTGTAGATCTATTAGCAGGCCGATCAGTCAAACTGTAACATCAACTTCATGTTTCTCCTCAATATCAGTTAGTCCTGATCTCTGCTGTCTGGAAAGAAGTAAATCGTCCAATAGCCAGATTTGTGAAAGACCAGCAACCTGTCGTCTTTCTCCCTCAGCTATTGAGTCCATCAACACAATATATCTGAAACAAGTGTGTGTGTGTGTGTGTGTGTGTGTGTGTGTGTGTGAAGATCTGGTATAGATAAGGAGGGCTATTGATGACATTGTTGTAAGTGAGACGACAAACACACACACACGAACACACAGTCTTGCTCTGATCAGAGGTGGGAAAACATACTCGCTCACTCTTTTCTTTCCTCTCACTCTCTCGCTCTCTCTAGGGTTTGTGTACAAAAACTTCACACCAGTAGGAAGCGGGTTATCTACACACAGGATCAGGATTCAGGATACAAAGCCAAATCAGCTGTGTGTGTGTGTGTGTGTGTTTGTGATCGACAGAGAGAGCAAAAGGGGACAAATTAAATTCAATTTCAGCAAAAGAGTTGATACTGCATTTACAGCAGCGCTATGTGACATCCACCAAGAGCAGCGTCACCTGTAAGAGTGCATTATTTACCCACTTTTAACATAAATTGCAAGAATTCCCACTATTGTTGAGACAGAGAATGATAAGTCTTGCTGTAACTTTCCATAGTTGTAAAATCAAATGTAGAAAAAATATCCCCAACCAACACAGCCCCCTAATTTATTCATTTTTAAATAAGATTTTGTTTGGCAGTTCTGTCAGTGAGTGAGGACTCAAACCAGGGACGTTGAGGTTACCGGATAAGCGTCTAAAAACTCGTCACAGCAGGATGTCTTCTACTCGTTTTAAGAAAAGCTTCTTCGTGTGGTGTGGAAACCATCAAACCAACAGATCTGGAGCCGCAGTGATTACACTGGTGTCGACTCACAGCACATGGAAAGTCAGTTTGAAATATAGAGTGCGACTGGTCTTGGTGGGTGTTGTGTTTTTGTGTGTTGGAGCCACAATACAACCTCTAAAAACATATATTCTCAAAGTTAAGCTCCCACACAAAAGGTTTATGTTTCAGTTGCAAACCACAAACTCCACCTTAACCTGCCCATCATTAATGTAGAGTGTGTTTGTGTGTGTGTGTGTTCTTGGTGGATGAAGCTACCAACTACCAAGAGACTGTGAGGCATCTAGAGTAGTGTGTGTAATACATGTGCTGAGTGCATATGATAAAAAGGTAGCACACTAATACATTATTTATATGTTGTTTATGGAAATATAATCTAGTTCTGCATGCAAAGCATCAAAATATTTGTATGTGGGGAGGGTGTAAGCTCTGTTTTGCATAACATCTGTGCAATTGTACATTTAAGTGCATGTAAGTGTGTGTGAGTGTGTGTGTGTGTGTGTGTGTGTGTGTGTGTGTGTGTGTGTGTGTGTGTGGCTCATGTGACGGTCTGCTCGTGACCAGCTGTGTCTGGCTACATTTTGTGCAGTTGACTGTGCGCTAATAACCCGGTGCTGACTCAGCACCAGTTGATAGTCAGCAAACATTTCATCAAGAGGAAGTCGATCGCTTTCACTTCAGCTGAACCTGCCGGTCTCCGCCACTCTCAATCTGAAACTGAGGCTGCATCGCGTGTCGAAAGCGCCCCAGATTTTTAGTGTGCCAACAGTATGAATGTGGTTCTTCTGGTCAGGTCTATCCATATTCGAGGCCGCTATCAGATGACGCCACATACTGCACATCTATGCAGTATTGTTCTGCTCATGCTGGTTGTGGTTTTTTTTCAGCAGAATAGAAACACATTTGACAATAGAGGAGAACATCTGTTGGCCATTTACTTCTCTCTTTGGGACCTTTATTATGCTTTTGTGCAGATTTAATAGACCAAACAGCAACATGACACACACAAGGAGGACTTTGAAATGCTAATGTTAAAAAGAGTAAATAAGTACACAGTGTTTGTGTGTGTGTAAGTGTGTTTGCGTGTGTGTTTGTGTGTGTGTGTGTGTGTGTGTGTGTGTGTGTGTGTGTGTGTGTGTGCTCACCAAAAGGCCTTAAAAGCTTCATAAATGTCGTTGAGACGTTGTCGTTTTGGTCCAGGCTGCAAACTTAAGCCCTGCAGTCGTACCTGAACACACACGAAGAAACAAAGAGATTAAGACCGAACACCATCAGCACACAGACACAGTAAAGACAGGTTAAACTGTATGTTAAATCAATACAGCATCCCGCACAACAGCAAATACACACACAGCCGCTCTGTCCTCGCTACCTTTGCACCTGTAATTTGATTAAGCAGTATATATCTAAACAAAATTGAAGGCTGTCAAACATGTCTGATAGGAAAAATAGATCGGTGGCATCAAATGGATTAAAGAAGGTTAAATAACTTATAAAAAGGTGGAGGAGCTCTGCTTTTGATTCAACGCTAACGTCACTATCGTTTTAATCTGCTGATTATCTTCAATTAAATGAATTAATCATTTGGTCTGTAACCTGTCAGTGACTGGCAAAAAAATAGCCCCAAGCACAGCACAAGGTGACATCTTGGGAATTGTTTGTTTTGTCTCAAACGAAGAGAATAAAATGCAAAGATATCCAATTTACTGATATAAAACAGCAAATACTCACATTTAGGACGCTAGAATCAGATATTTTGCTTAATAAACAACTTTAATGGTTCATGTATTTATTATTTATTAACTACTCTTTAGAGCCATAACTATTACTATGTATCATTGAAACTGCAAGCTGGTGGCATCACACCTACAACACAAGACAATAAACATATAACAGTTGATTACAGAGCAGGACACTCCTCATATTTTCTTTATTTTTAACTGGCAAGCCCAGAATCTAAACATACCCCGGTACCCTGGTAGCTCCTGGTAACCACAGTCACTGGTTTGTTATTCACTACAAGTAAACCTCTTCATTCCTGGTTGACTACAAAGTGATGAAGATCATTCTACTAAATGTCCTCAAACCCTCTTTTTTTTTTTTTTTTAAACCCTCTCTCTTACCTGCTTTACATTTAAACACCACTCACAGATGCTAATTATAAACCACTTTATAATTAGAGCCACCTAATTATGCAACCTGACCTGTCCCAGGCTGTCTGCTCCTCCAGCCTCTCCTCTCTCTCTCTTTTTTTTTTCTGTTTTTGACACAGGCCTACAGAAACTACTGTAAATGCCTCCCTCCTCCTCCTCCTCCTCCTCCTCCTCCTCCTCCTCCTATCTCTGCAGCAGCAACCTGAGATGCTGTGTATTCCGCCTGCCGACAGCGGCTAGTAAAATGTTTAATTTCCGTCCCCCCCTCTCGTCGCCGGTGCTTTAACCGGACAGCGAGCTCACCTCGCCGGGTCGTGTCAGCCCCGCCGGCTCCGTGTTTTTGTCCGCTGAGCGGTCGGAAAGTCGCTCGGCTCTGCGGCAGCTTTTTGTTGCATAGGTTGTCCGCTGCTCCTGCAACTGAAGCCAGGGCTTTAAATACGCCTTTAAAGGAATATCTGTCGGAAGAAGAGACGTAGCGCCTGCTTCCGTCGACGTCACAGGTAATTTGCATAAATGGGCGGGGCATCTGTGGTTGTATACAAAGGAGCGGAGAGGCAGAATTTTTAAAGGGGAATACCGTAATAAAAGAGTCAGTGGTTACAAGTATCTTTACTCAACTACAATTTTGTGGTACTTTGTTTATCAATTTTTTGCAACTTTTAACTTTTACTCCACTATACTTTATTTATCTGACTGCTATATATATTTTTCCTCCCCTCATTTGTGCAAAACAACAAGCACCACACACAAGATATACAGCAGTAAACAACAATATGCAAACGCAACAACATTAATCTGAATCAGCTTTATTGACAAAGTATGTGTAGGCCTACACATGCAAGGACTTTAAGACTTTCAGTGGCTCTCAGTGTAGTACAGTGCCTACAGATCCAACAACAATTTACAGGAAGATAGAAACAGACATACAGCTGAAAAACAAGGACAACAAAGCCAGTTAACAATAACAATAGAAATATTATGAGCAAACATGAAAGAATAGATGCATATGCATACACACACACACACACACACACACATATATTTATATAAACAACAATGACGCACAATGTCTGTAAATTGTAAACAAACTCAAATAGTGTAAAGAAGTTTGTGCACATGAAGTTGGTGGCTGTTAAAGAGAAACAGACAAGGGTATTGCTTATATGTGAGAGTTACATGCTGGTTAAGATCAGTGTATTTGTCATTTTGTGTGCATATAGACATTTGTATAACAAAAGACATTGTGTGCAGTGATGATGAAAAACAACAATAATGATGATTATTAAAAACTAAGAACGAAATTAGGAACTCCTTATGTTGAAAAAAGGTGGTTAACCTTTTTGAGTACAAAGCTGATAAAACAATGTAAAGTGTATGTTCTGTTTAAGATGACGCGGGGCCTCTGTAGATGATACTACAGAATAATAAAACACTAACTACACCTTCTCCAACTAGGAAAATATGTATATTTTAAAAGAGTAAACAAAGTGTCAGACTTAAATCCTCAGTCTTTCTTTCTTTATTTTAGCTTTCTTTATTTCAGCTTTTGAGTTCACTAAGATAAACTATTATATTAATAATATAGTTATAATTAAGACCGGGATTAAGCGTCTCTAGAGAGTCTTGGGATAGTTACTCTCTGTACAGTTTGTCAGTATTAGTTTGCTGCAACACAGTCAAGCAATCAATGCAGCCAGGTCTCTGGAACCAGAAAAACCAGTGAAGTTTAGTCATTTTTGCTCATAAAAGAATTTTAATTACGAATGAATAATCAAAGTTTTCTCTCATAAATTGTCTATTTCCATTGTTTCAGCTCTACAGTCATATAATCAGTCATGAACCAATCATTAAAGACGCCACAGTAGAAAGTGCTGATCGAGGGAAAATTAATACATTATGATATAATACACAAGTCAGCAGTTTCGTTCTTACTGGCCAATTTCTTTTAAGCAGGAAGCTAACACACTTCTATACTTGCAGTGCACAACCCAGACTTTGATGTATTTTGTTTGTGTGAATACTGTTTATTAAATTAGATTAATAAGACTGTGAATGTGACTCCATTCGAGATGTACAAATGTACAAATGTACACAATCTTTATGCTGTCGAGTGAAAGTCACTTGTGCCTTTTCAGTAAATTATTACATACTGAAGTTTTCATTAGTTTCAGTTTCAGACCCGAATACGGAAGGTTCAGGTTGTCTCAGGGTTATTATAGTAAACTAAAACTAAACTTAAAAAAAAAACATTTTAGTTAACTGATATAAAAATAAAAACTACACTAAATACACAGGAAATGTCTTAAGTCTTTAGTCTTTAGTCTTTAGGCAATGGTGCAAATGTTAATTGAGATCGGGATGAAAGTCAATGTGTTTGTAGTGTAATTTTCAGCCCCCCTATTATTATTTAAAACGCTAAAATTAATTAAAACTAAACTCAAATGAGCAAAAACACACTCTGGAAACTAACTAAAACTAAACAAAAAATCGGCTCCAAAGCTGAAATACACACATACTTAAAGCTCTGACAGGTATGATGCACATCTGTTTCCCTACAGAGTCCAAAGGGCCCTCAGGCTTTTTAACCTTAGAGCGCCCTCTGGACTCTGGCTCTGCCTGTCTATCATCATTCATACTGATTACATGTTTTGACTTCTGAAGCCTCGTTCGAGGAGGAGCTGATACCAAAAACACGAGTGACATAAGGAGCGACAGAGAAAGAAATGTTTCCTGATGTGATAAAAAGAAATTGAATTCAGTGTTATATTACTGAGACTGAAAAAGAACCTGAACACACTTAAAGGTCCAGTGTGTAACATTTAGTAGGATCTACTGGCAGAAAGGTATGTTGTCGTTAGGGTATAATCACCTCAAAATAAGAATCTTTGTGTTTATGTTACATTTTTATCTACAGACGGAGCGGGTCCTCTTCTACAGAGGCCGCCATGTTTACACAGTATAACCCAGAACAGACAAACCAAACACTGGCTTTAGATTGGGCCTTTTATGCTTCTCCTACACACCTGCAACTGGAGGGTGAAGCGAGGGAGTTGTAATCTGGCAACTACACTGCTAGAAACCACTAAATCCTACACACTGGTCCTTTAAGGGAGCAGATTTAAAACACAAACATCCAAAATAATCATTTAGAGTTACAGATATTGTGTGATGTCAAGACAATGTTAAGAGTGCAGCTCCAAACATACAGCAATGTTAATGATCGCTATCATTCTTCTCGCTCCGGAGAATGTGTTGTTGTTCTTCTATCCTGTCCGTCGTAACCTGCACGAACACAAAGCCATAAAATATAATAAGAAGGTGATGTCTGCTGTAAATCTCTTGTCAAGAACACTCAGGTAGGACAAATCATTGTTGTAAGGATCAGGAACCCTCCATAAATAATAACTAAAGATGTTTTTAAAGTTTGATTGTTGCTTATTTTGTCGTTAATAATTAAATTACATTTTCTTGGAGTTTTCAGGGGCTTTTTCTCAGTAGGAACTAAAAGTGAATGGAAGGCAAGTGTTTTTTTTAGATGGCATTTATTGACAGAAAAATATAAAATAACACGTCTTAGGCTCCAGTTGAAGGCAGCTCCCTCCATTGACAACAACAACAACAACACCTTGTACTTTTGTTTTTTGATTTGTTCTTTTTTCCCCAGTCACAAATAGATCTAAATCAAAACTGCACTAGCTGCTTCAGTTCTATTGAAGTAAAGAGGAACTTCTCTTTTCTTTGTAGTATTGTTCTACAGAGGACTGTTCCTCTGTTGACTAGAGTTACTGTTTCAACAAGTTTTTCAAGTTAGGTTTTAAGTTGCAGCGCAAACAGCAATTGTGTTTGTTTTTTTGTTTTTTTTCTCCACCTTTTAAAATCGAGCTCTTGCTTCCTGTAAGTAAAAGTTTATGGATTAAAGGAAACTGATTAAGAGCTGCAGGAGACGCAGAAAACAACTTATCTTCCACTGCAGCTGAGGCATGAGTGGAGCTGCACGGTGAGAGATTAACAGCTTCTTACGACTTTATGTAAAACAATGTCCAACACACAAACACTCGCACAAAGATAAAGCAGAACTGCACATCCACACACATATTATTTAAAGCAGTGACCCCCTTCTTAGGTGACATATTTTATGGATTATGTATATTATATTCAAAACAATAAACCTAAGTAGTGAACTCAGTAACTGTATGTTTGTGTAAAATTAGATGAAATAAGATTTGGATGAATTTTAGGCAGATTATTTCGCACACACACACACACACACACACACACACACACTATCCTTCTTGTCACTCTGTCACCCCTCAAATGCTAAATATTTTCTTGTTGCATCTTCTCAGATATGAGGATTTGCTGCATTTCTTCTTCTTTTCTATGTCACATATGAATAATGGTGGTTGTGGACTGACGATTAAAGTCTTTGAAGATGCCACTTCGGGCTCATGAAAATGATAATGGCCATTTTTCCACAGTTTTCTAACATTTCATCGATTGAACCAGAGAAAATAATTGGTGGGATAACTGCCCTGTTATGTTGATATTGTGAGTTCTGTGCCGTGAACTTGGTCCCATTTTAACGTCTCTTGGTATCAAATAGCACCCTCTACTGGTGAACTCTAGAAAGTTCAGAAAAATGGGGATGAAAACAGTAATACATACATTAAATGTCAAATTATGACTTGTGACCATTTGAACTAAAGCAACATCTACTTATTACCCATCACCCCTCTGCGACCCCCATGTTGGGAACTATACAGAGTAACTTGAAACTTGTTCTGGTTACAAATAAAGACAAACTGGAGACTTCCTTTGAAAAGGTGTATTTGCTTTATTCACTGCCGGTTAAATGTTAGAAAATCTTGATAAAAGGTTGGAGATATTATACAGTTTCATATACATTTCAAGTTTTATAAAAGTGACAATATTCATTTAAAAAAAACACAAAATATGTCAGTGGTTGTTTTTCACCAGTTTAGTTTACAAGAGGAATATATTTTATGCTCACTATTTATATACAGTGTACACAATAAAAGATAAATTGAACCTTTGAATGGTGATAAGAACCAAATTACACCACTTGTGATACTTTTTGTGAAACAATAGTGTCGACTTCTTAACTCTGATTGTTCAAGTGTCCCAGAAAGTTAACTTTTTGAAGAGAAAAACAGGCTGTAAAAGATAGAAAAAGGTAAAAATACAAAAAACAAAAAGAGTTCAGTTGTACTGTTTCACTTAATGAAAATAACACTTCTGTAATAAAAACTAGTCAGATACTCCTTATAAAATGCACAGAACACAAATGTCTACAGATTATAAATAGATTTCAACATATAAGAGGAAATTTAAGCCTTTTTTTATACTTAAAAGTATAAATAACTACATTTTTAATATGCATAAAGCATTTTATAGCCGGGAATTTTTTGATAAAGCTTCCACATCTTCTGTCGAAAACATTTTGCCTTTACTTGTTAACCCGGGAATACAGATAAAAACTTATCTTGTAGGGAAATAAATAGAGAAAAATGTAGAAACTTTGTCTAACAATGAGGTATTGAAGTATTTGATAAAGATATACAATAAGTGCGAAACACTGCAGGCCACTGTTAGTCCTTATTTCATGTGTTTTTTTTTAAAAAAATCTAATTCCACTCAGGACTAAAACGTGTTTCTCTTGAGATGCTTTGAAACACACATATCACTGTTTCACATGTTTGAGTCCAGCTCCTAATTTTGTTTCATCTTTCATCACATTTCTCGTCACCCCCTCACTGTACATTGTCCGTTAAAGGATAACTTCCATCAAAATATTTTTCAGGGCTTTCCCTCCCCACTGTGGTGGTGAAATCTGCAATCACAGGTTTTGTTTTCAGGGTAGTTTGACTCCTTTGAGATGCAGAGACCCACCTCAAAAACACAGCTGGAGGAGAGGCTCAGTCACACAATGTTCCCACATAATACTAGTGTGATTGGACTCGCTACAAAATAAGGTAGAGCATTAAATAAGGAATGGTATGACAACACTGAAAATGTATAAACCTTTAGTAAAGTGAACTTTGGATTAAAAGAAAAACAAAACATATCCAACAAGAAACTGCGTCCACTTCTCTTTTTTTCAGTCTTCGTTTGTCCTTCATACTCCCGAAAAAATAACGTGTTAGTACTGTTAGTATTTCTAATCACCACTTCATAGCAGGCGGCAGAAGCTGCTCAGTTGGTGTCACTTTACGTAAACTTATTGCTTCACATGATTCCTTCATAGCTCTGAGTTGCAGCATGAAGTCGAGGTTTCCAAAAACACAGATCTTCACTCCTTTTCCCACAGATTCTCAACCTGCGGTCCTTTTGTTAGTTCACAGCACGATGGCGTTAACAACTCCAACTTTAATAGTTGTCCATTTCCAGGCAGCCGATGGCTCTACTCCACCTTCCAGATGGCAATCTTTCCGTCGTGTTTGGCAGCTCCACTGAGGACGTATCGATCCTCGGCGGAGCAGAGCGCCGTCACCTTGTCGTTGTGGCCGTGAAGCTCCTTTTGGACCTGGTGGCGCTCTGTGTCCAGGATGTAAATCTTCCCTTTGGTAGAACTGCGGCCAACACCGCCAACCCACACCTGGAGAGATGAGAGGCAGATAATGGAGTTTTATGTCTTGTCACTGCCACCACTATAATGCATTTAGGTGATTTCTGTGTGTTATGTGTGTGCATTAGTATATTAACCTGGTTTTTAACTTTGATCATGCAGTAACATCCGGTGCAGTCCTGCAGAGCCACGCGGTGGAACGGTTTGCTAGTGTCCTTAATGTTCCAAATACACACTTCTCCTGAGTCCACACAAACACTCCACAGCTCCTCCCTCTGACACACACACACACACACACACACACACACACACACACACACACACACACACACACACACACACACACACACACACACACACACACACACACACACACACACACACACACACACTCAGTTATAATGCACAACAAAACACAACAAGATACCAGAGATGTGTGTGTGTGTGTGTGTGTGTGTGTGTGTGTGTGTGTGTGTGTGTGTGTGTGTGTGTGGTACCTCAGGTAACAGCAGTACAGAGCTGAATGCAGCTGTGGATCCTCTTGTCGGTCCTGGCTGCTCTGGCAAATTCATACGATGTTTTACTGAACCGTTCCTCCACACCTCCATTATACTGTCCCTGGAGCCTGGAGGGAAGGACACAAAGACAGACAGAAAAATGATTTACTTTTCATCATCAACTCTTAAGTTTTTTTTGTTTTAAAGCTGTGGCGAGAGTCGGTAACTTACAGCACCAAAGCGTTCCATTAAGGCTGGAGACCGACTGCAGACGGTCGCAGGAGAGGCGAAATTGCCTCTTCACCTGCAGTATTAACGTACAAATGAATGGTTAGGACCAGGAACATAACTGGAAGCAGGGAGGAGCTCTGACCAGTGTACTGCTGATCTAAAACATTTAATCATGGAATTAACCAAATCAGCTCTACACCTGTAAACTACTAAGATTATTTTATGGGATTTCAACCTTTTATGTAGCATGCTGTTTTATTTAGTACATGACCAGATGATTATCTGGTGAAACGGAAAAGCAATAAAAACATAGTTTACAACGCCCACAGACTAACAAAGTGTTGTTTTGAAACTGACCTGTAGTGTCGAGACGTCCCACACCATGACGCTTCCCTCTGCACTGCAGGAGTACGCCACCTTCTGGCTGAAGAACAAAGTCCACTGGTAAGATTTTTCTGATTCATAACTGATTCAAACACAAATCTGTCACAGGGACTAAAGCCAACTTATTACTTTAGCTTAGTTAAATACAATTTAATTCACTGGCATGAAAGTTTAGAAACAATATTGCAAAAGTGTGAAGTTACAATACAGTTATATAATTCAAAACTGTATTTAAAATCATAAAAAGCATCAGTATTGGTCACTTTCGTGTGTGTGTGTGTGTGTGTGTGTGTGTGTGTGTGTGTGTGTGTGTGTGTGACCTGTATTTGTCTGTATCAAGTGCCAGTCCAGTGACCTCCGCCCTGTGTTCAGTCAGCTGTCTGTTACAGACCATGGCCACCATGCTGATGATGTAGATGACAGAGTCCTCAGAGCCCATCCAGACCTGGTCCTTATCAACTCCCAGCATGCAGTTCTGCAAACACAGAGACAGAAAGACACCATGACTCACACGGCTACAGAGAACATAAAAACTGATTTTAAAATTAAATATAGAAACATTAAGGGACAGTTTTTATATGAATAATAAGAAACCCAAGGTTATTTTAAAATAAGGCCCACAAAGAGACTGCTAAGTGATTAGTTGGTGAGAATAAAAAAGTAGATATATAAACAGTTGGTTAAATAATTAATTAGTCGACAACAATTTCACTAATCAACTAACCACTTCAGTTATTTGTTGTTCTAACTTCTAAATTGTGAGGATTTGCTGCTTTTCTTTGTCTTATCTGATAGTAAATGCATTACTTTTGGAGTTTACTACAGTAGATCGGTTCCTAACAGATAAGTGCAGCAGGTATGTATAAGTAAGTAGATTTTCGGGTAAGCATAATGATGCATTATTTGGGTTTTGGGTTAAAAAGAAAATGCTGAGAGAGCAATACCTAACTTCTCCACTAGGTGGTAACAGACAATAAAACTACAGCAGTCCACTAAAAAAAAAAAAAACACACTGTCCCCTCAACACCATGACATCTAATATCATCGTCATCGAGAAATTCAAAACAAAAGTGAGTATAGCAAAAGTAAGAGCATGGTTCAGGTGTTTAATGCAAGACCTGGTAGTGAACTGTGTGCAAATATTATGGTTGAGTCTAAAGAAAACACTCTCTCTCACACACACACACACACACACACACACACACACACACACACACACACACTTAACATATTTCATGTGACTGTGACCTGCATGCTTAGAGCAGAGGTCAGTGATTAGCACAGTCCTAAGAAGTGCCTTAAAACTTTACACTCATCCTTAACCTCATTTACCATGAACATTCCCCAAAGAGCTTTCAGGCACTCCTGCAAACTTTCACTTGTTTATATTTGTTTAGAAAGTCCATGTTTGCACAGAAAATGTTTTGCTTTTGGGGGGGGGAATTAAAACTATTCAAAACACACTGTACACTCCCCAAAACATGTGCTTGCAAGTCTGAAGATAATACCGACACTGTTTGAAGTGGAGCTACAGGAGCAAAAAGTAAAGCTGAGGAAAACAGTTTTATCTGTATCTGATGTCAATGTATGTGCTGTTTATCTGCTGATTCTGTCCAGTGATGTGAAGCAGTCGAACATGTTTTAACTTAGTGATGGAAGAACTACCGAAATATCATGTTCACTACAACATTATCAGTCAGAACAGAATTTGCTACTCTCTTCGATATCTTACTGAGAGCAAACGTAAGCATGTTTTTCTACAGTTTTTCATTCAAACAATACCAAAGTTGTGCAATCATGTTTTACACTGTTCTGACTCAAAAACTCAAAATCAAGTCGAAAATTGCAAAAAAAGAGATAAGAAAAGGGGTGTTGCGCTGAGAAATTGAGCAATGGAGAGATTTTTGTTGGAAAAATAAGTTTTAGTTTAGTCATAACTCCAAGGCGGAAATCAAACTTAATGAAGAGCCAAGACTCGTTCTTGTATTTCTACATTTTGCTAATACCGAGTACTGCTATGAGTAATTAGCAATACTATTACAGTCCTAACAAAGACTTTGAAAGCATTATAATAACCTGTCCCACTAACGAGAGGTTACATAACGTCACGCTGCGGTAAAGTGATATTGGGTGTGGTAGTTCTATGATTGCCAAAGAACGAGTACAAGAGCACAGTATTGGAACCGATACTCAATACTGGTATCAGTATGCAAAATATTGGATCGTAACTCTTGTATTGCGATAGGTATCATATTTTTGGTCCCTTTGGGACAGCAGAAACAAGCTATAAACACAACGCTGATAACCTCTGAGCCTTAATCACCTTTTAAGTTGATATAGCTAACATGTTAGCGAACATTCAATTGAAGTTGTGTTTCTGGCAACCTGACCAATTCAAGTCCAGCATTCACACTCATTTTAGCTCTCTTGTATACCAACTCCCGAGGGAAATATCTGGGTCTTCAGTTACTAAATGCTCCTTTATGTTCACCAGGTAGTAACTCTCTCTGCTGTTTGGTGCTTAGCAGGCAGTTGTTTTTTTGTTTTTTTAAAATCCGAGCGATTCACACATTTTGGAATTTCAAAATCCAGCCCAACTTGTAAAAGTTGAACTGGTGTGTTAGTGTGAGCAGTGTGTGTCTTTTCTTTACCAGTCTTGCATTCCCAACGTGACAGGTGTGTGTGAGGGACCAGCTGGAGGCATCAAACACCATCACCTTCCCCCCGCTCACAGACACCCATAACTGACCTGAAAAAAACACACACACACACACAATTTATCAGTTATTTCTCAACACCTTATCGTAGACTTGTGACCTACAGCTGCCACTGTTTATTCTTTCAGGAGGCAGAGAAGAAACGTGAATTTCAACCAGCAGTTTGAATCGAAGCACTTCATGTTAAAAATTATTTTTCCGCTGCCCGACTCCACCCAGGCTTTACAGTCAGTTTCCTCCAACGTATTTGTTGCTATTCAAAAGTGCAGGGGAAAAAAGAGAAAGTAACATCCTGTATTTCATAGGAAAATAGCTGGAGAAGGACGGTTGGACATAGAGGGGAAGGAGAGAGCTGGGGAGGGAAGCTGGATGTAAAAATAAAAGAAATAGAGAAGGGAGCGGAAAGGAGAGAGAGGGAGTAGGAGTGAACTGGCCGTGTGCCAGGAACTCAATTCAGTGACCTATATTCAAACCAGAGAGTCACAGAGACACAGAGAGGGAGGATCTGAATAGCCAGATCTGTTCTTTTCACCAACAGAAATCCCAAAGAGCTGAATGTTACAGAAGAACTGAACAGTGTCTGAATATGTGGGCGTCACTGAGTATGAGTGTGCACCAATGTGTTAGTGCTGGAGGTCAGTCTGCCACCAGCCGGGCATCTAAGTGGCCCCAGATGGTCGGTCCACTGAAGACCATGGTTTTATAGTTCTTTTTTAAGCTGTTCCCTCTCAGTCTTCCTGCAGGATGACTAATGCGCCAGTGTGTCTGTCCCCCGTGAAGTCAAAAGACTGTACACCAAGGCTAAACAACAGTAAACAACTCTTATGTTTTAAGGTCAAATGTGGTGACTGGGATGTCCTGATGGGCTACAGAATAAAAAAATAAAAAACATAGGAAGTGTCTTTTTTTTTTTTGGGCTTCAACATTCTGCTTGAATGCTTCTTGATGTGGGAACTCTACTAGAAGGAAAAACAATTATTTTTCTTAAGATGGCCCCTCATTGGTGTTTTTATTATGTGTTGTCTATCACTTTGATGAAATCCGATGTCTGTGAAGGCCATACCATGATTCTTTCACTGTCATACTCATTAAACCGTTCAGCAATGAGGCTCCCTGTTGGCCTCGGGCTCAAGGCGCTGGCTATAAACAGTAATGCGTCCAGTTCACGTCCGGCCAGGGACCTTTTACTGCACGTCACCTCGTTAACTGTCATCTTTCAGCTCTCGACTATTGATTAAAACATAAAATGGCCAAAAAATTACTTAAAATGTTCAGATTTTCCTTTAATTTGTCACTGGTCTGTAAAATATCAATGTTTAATATCAGGTATAAAGTCATCTAAGTCTCTAAATGGACTGGCTGCACAGCCGACATTTTGACTCATCAAAGGCAGAAAAACACAGGTGGACCTAATAACAGTACCGATGGTTCGGTTCCATTAAGTGTCCCAGTGACAGTGACCCAGCACGCACACTATCAGGACCTCCCCGTAAGTGGAATGCAGCTATCATTAACACACCTGTGAGTCTGTTATGACATGCAAAAATGTCTGCTGTGTCCATTAACTCACTTCCACTTAACACTTTGTGCTCTTTGGCTCGCAGGGATTAGTTGTTTAAACAGGTTCTGGCAGTCAAAATAAATGTTGCATCAAAATTATTCATAAGTAAATAACATTTGCTCTCTCTATACATCTACTCTCATGCTAAATGTAAATAGTTTTTATTTCAGTAAAAGACATTTTTTACAAAGTCACTGTGCTTTTATTCTATTTAAAAATGATGTATGCTCTTCACCAGCACAGCTTCAACCCCTATTATTTATGAAATTTTGGATTTGGAGGTTAAGTTTCACTACAGAAGAGGATCAAAATGGCTTCACATGATTTGAGCATTTTGTTTTGTAAAGCTTTTTTCCCCACATTGGATGAACTTGGTTGGACTGTTCCTGGAATATTTTTAGCCTTTTAGATCTCAAAATGCACAGTTCAGCTACTTTTACTAGGAGTACACTGTTCTTCTTCTTCTTGCTTTTACTTTCTTGTGCAGTTTGGGTTTAGCAAGTCAAGAAGGCCAAAAGACGGACAAGGGTTTCCTGCATCTATCACTGTTTGGCTCAGAGAGGGAAAGCATCCCAACTGATGTCAAAATGTTTACTGCTGCGTTATTTAAAATGGAATTCTCTGCCTTATTCTGTACTTTCACATTATTTTCACAGCTCCCATTGAAAAGCAGAAATCATATATTTATGTCAATTTAGCCTTGAGGTCTGTCCCTATATATTTCTAAATGGGTTCACTTCCTTCTGTAGTCTTCCTCAAAAGGAGACCAGTGAAGGACGCATTGTAGAGAATCTTTACGTGGCGCTTTATGAAGGTCCACTTTTTTTCTCTCACTCACTCTAAGACAAACAGAGTGAGAGAGAGAGAGAGAGAGAGAGGTGATGACAAAGCAAAGGTCATGTGTGTGCATTTGTCAGTGACCGTGTGTTGGTGTCACAGTTGAAACTGGATTGTGAAACGGTCCCCAGAGGGAGAAATCTGACACTTGTCATCGCAGTGTTAATATGAATACTCAAGGGACTGCTTGGCTACAGGACTTGTTCGGGAGCAGTGTGTGTGTGTGTGTGTGTGTGTGTGTGTGTGTGTGTACCTGGTGTGTATAGAAGTACATCCACAGCCTGAGGTGCAGCAAGTTCCAGCGAGGGGTTAATTTTGTGCTTTAATGTCTCTGAGGTTGTCTTGGGAACCATCATCGGCACTGGAGACACACAAACCACTGTTAACTCGCCTTTCACAGGTGGTGAATACATAAATGCACTGAAAAACCCCCAAGCAGCAATAAAAATCTCCACACAACCTCTGATGAGTCATTATGTGCTAAGGAACACAGCGTTTCCTAATGATCTCAGACCAATCTTATCAGTTTCTAAGTATGCAAATTGGAACCGAAACCAAGTCATTAACCTCCGCAGCCTACATTGTGTTTTTTTTTTGCATCAGAGAAGCAATCAAACTGAATCAGCGCAAGCTGAATTTATAATGCCTTCCATGTTGACAAAGTGGGTGGGTTTAATAGTGCTCGAGATGCTGAAAGCAAAGCAAACAAAACAAAATCTATAACAATGAGCATTAACATCACCACCTTCCATCTTGATGCGGTCAAAGTGAGCCAGCTTCGAGGCAGCGTAGATGGCCTTACTGCTCTGAAGGCTGCCCACTACTGCGTCCATTAACAGGGCATTGGTCAGAGCCTGCTGCATGTACTGGGGGTCCTGGAGACAAAGATCCATATACAATTCATTACACAGCATTTTTACAACAGCTTTTTATTAATATCATACACTATACACTAATATTTGACTCTTTTTTTTATATATTTGGGTGTCTTTTTATATTGTCTTATGTTGCTTTTACATTTTGTCTTTTAGGTAAATGTAAATTTATGAAATGTGCTACATCTAAACTTGATATGTAGCGCATTGCAAAAATAAAAAGAACATGTGTTTTACATAAAGACATAAAAAAGGAGATTGTACAACAAAAAATAACTTCTAGATGCATTTAAAGTCAAAGAGATGTGGCTTCTGTGATTAAAAGTTTAAAAATATATTACAAAACATAGCAAAGACAGCCAATTTAAAAAAACTGATCCTAAAGCAAGAGCAGATCATTTTATTTTAGGGAGTGAAAAGTGGTACAAATTCCATTATGAATGTAAACAGGCTTATAAAAAGAAGCCGCCAAGCTCCAGACAAGCTGGATATACATTCAACATATACTGGAGTACTAGATACACACAAAGGAGAAATGAGAGTAACAATAGGAGAAGAGTGTGAGACAGAAATGTTACAGTTACATCATCTGGTTTCACAAAGGAAACCCTCTGTCTTTATTCAAGTATTTGAATTTATGTACATGTACGCCTCATGGAATTTCAACCACACCTACAAAGGTCACAGAAGTTGACAATAACTGGCGCACACACACACACACACACACACACACACACACACACACACACACACACACACAGAGTAAATGATACCTAGATAAAGACATGCTATGAGTAATAAAGGAAGATAATAACTCACCAAATGATCTTATTCAATTAATCCTCTGTATGATTTTCTCTCTTTCCTCCCACACATGTATATCCTCATATTGAGACACACACACACACACACACACACACACACACACACACACACACACACACACACACACACACACACACTTTCAATCACAGCTTTACCTTGTGTTGGTCAGCCATGTTGCGCCCGGCCCACATCTCTTTGACCATCAAGTTCCATAGCTCAGTTTCCGTTTTTAAATTGGCCTCGAATGCATCCTTCCTGCCCCGAACGCGCAACTTCAGACTCGGGATTCGCAACAGCAGGAAGGGAGCTGAAGACACTTTCACCTCCTACAGGAAAAGACCAGGGCTGGATCAACATACTTAGATTGAACCTGGTGGGGGCATATATCTGCATTTTTCCAAGCTTTTAGTCCTGATTGAAAGAACTTTAACTCCTCACCTCATAACTTTTCTTCGGCTCACTTTAAATCTCATTTCAAAAGGTATTTTCGTCTCACCTCTAAATCTCGGTACTGTGCCACTTCCACATATCCCGGTCGTCCATCGGTCAGCAGGAAGAGCCGCCGCTGTGTCATAGCGATCTTCCCCACGCCGCGGCTCGTCTTGACAGAGGAGGACAGCTTGAAGACGCACTCACTGGGCTCAATGTGCTCCAAGACAGACGCTGGCAAGCACACCTGAAAATCAAAGTCAACTGGTCAAGGAAAAAAATTGAGCAGGAAACATATTAATTCAGTCTGAGTTAACATAACAAAATCAGCAACATATAAATAATTAGCTTCCAAGATTTAGAACAACTCTCTCAATTCTCCATCAGATACAGAAGAGTACCATCTTACTGCAACACAATCATCCTCTTAACAAACTTGAAATGTATAAATAAACTAATGCTGTTTCCTGGTGCTGTTTGTATGCCCATAAGCAGAAGTAAAATAAGCTTATAATTAAAATCATGATCAGCTGACAAACATGAAATGTTGATTGATTTTCCACTCACACTACCCCTTTATACTGTGAATGTGAATAGAACTGCCGTGCCACTACTGTATAATCAAGATCTAGGCTTACAAACAAACATACAGACCTCCTGTGCCTCGGCCTCAGTCTCTTTCCAGATGGTGTAGAAGACTCTAAACAACTCTGGACCAACCTGCTTCTGGTGACCTACAATAAATAAACACACACAATGACTTGTGACTCAGTTTAAAAACAATATTTTGATTTTCATTTACCCGAAATGTTTGACTGAGCAACCTATACCATAGAAATACCCAGCTTCATACTCTCTTTCTCACATGCACACATATAAACATCTGGTTGCTGACTGGGCCGACTGTTTTTTCTCATTCCAAAGAATTTAATCTTCCAGCATGCCTGCAGAGTGGGCAGTTGGGGGGTTGTGATTGTTACTGTATTAAAACGATGACTCATACAGTATAGAGTCTATGCGCTCCCCCCCAGCCAAACAACAGCCCATACAGCCACACTCGTCTGTTCATGGCCACTGAGCAATGGGAGAGTCATAAAAGCCATTCTTTTTTGTATTTTGTATATTTAACATATTATATTGCTTTGTGTAGTAGGCATACATAAAACATCCAAAAATGAAACAATGATCGGTGCCCATTTTCATTTTTTATCATCAACAGGATAAGAGGCAAGAGACACTCAACCTTCAGTTTTATTATGAGTTCAAATAATCAGAGTAGAACAATGACTTTATTTTGTCCAAAATCTCTGTTTACCTTTGTCTCACTCAAAAAATGATTCCACCACAATGAGTTACTAAAGTGAAACTAAAACGATATGTGTAAGTTAAGAACTCTGCAGGCTGGTTCCTTAACTGAATTTAATCTTAATCTCTTTCTCCAGAGCAGCACAGGAGAGGAAAGGAAAAGCTTGATCGTTACACCCAAAAATAATAAATGTGTTTTTCCAATAACATAATATGGAGTGCAAGATAACCTCTCACTCTGACACTTTTTCCTGAAGAAAGATTTCCAGCACGCAAAAGCTCCACTTGTGAAAAAGTACCTTCGCTCCCCCTCTCCAAACTACCTTCCTCTCCTAGCTCTTATCTTAAAAACAAATATCCCTCATTACTCAATCCATAGCTCTCATGACTGAAATATCTCTTCCTCGCCTTCCCGTTTACATGCTCAATCTGAGGAATGTTGTCAGGTCACTGCAGCTCTCACACCGGTCGGCACTAGTTGCTACTGGCTGCTCATAATGTTTTCCTGTGGTGTTCAATTCTGCTCAGAGCATCCTCTTAAATGTAAATAGTGCCAGTACTGAGAGAACGGTTACCAAAGGCATTAATAGTAATTTACTGATATGTAGTTATTTTCATTATGCAACTTTAAAATTAGCCATTAAATTAGCCAGTAAATGACCACTGGAGCCCTGGTTACACCTACAACACCAAACAGTTCTGCATGACTCTCCTTCTTCAAGAAGGGGGTGAGGTAATGATTAACCCGAGGAATAAATGTTTGCCTGGGAAAAGGGGAGAAGCAGTTTGGAGGGCAGCTCGTTTGATCCAAAAAAATGTGAAAAGGCCTCAGCAATAACATTTCCATAATATAGATTCACTATATAAAACACACATGTACATGTATGTATATACAGTGTACCACTCACCTACAGTAAGAGCATCAAAGAGTCTATGTATGGATCCTTGGTCTTTTACTATGCCGGACTCCTGGATACATTTCACAAACTCCTCCATCTGCATGTATTTTTTGGGCAGCTGGAAGCGTTTTACGGCGCCTTCCTCGTGCCCGTTGCCGTTGCAGGCGCGTTCCCGCTCCTGGTCCCTCTTGACCCGACTGATGAGCCGTTTCAGTTCTGACCGTTTGTCCGCCTGCAAAGAGAAATGTCAATTATTGTTACAGTGCTAATCAATATGGTTATATAATCATCGCAGAATCAAGATTTTAATCAATTAATGTTGTTTCTTTGTGTCTTTATTGAATGTGTTGTACACCTCAAGTAAAATGAATGGAGCTCAATGTGACTAATCTGGTGCACTTGATGCAATTAACTGCAGTGAATCCAGATAACAACATTTACGATCCCATGTCACAGCTCAATAGCACAGTACAACACAAAGTCCTCATTGATCATGGACTGTACTGACCTGTGAACGTTCAGCTTCTGGCAGAGAGTCAACCAGTGACTTAACCATCTGAGAAGGAAAGATATCAGAGTCAGTCTTATAAAGACTCTGGAAGTCCTCTAGTGCATCCAGGCGCCTGTTGGACACAGTGTTCACCAAACCTCGCAGGTAGTGGTACCTATGAAGACAGACAGATGGATTTGGTTTAGTTGTCAAATTCATCTGGTTTACTTGAGATATTTTTAATCTGTCTGAAACTTGAGGTTTTGGCCTGGGTCAGTGATTTATTCCAGAAATGTCGGGTTATTTCTTGCAATTCCACAATGAACAACATGATACAATCGCTCATAACAGTATGAATGTTTAGAAAATCTACTTTTTTTCTAGTTCAGTATTTGCCTAAAACAAGAATGACTCAGCAGGAAATCCGACAGAAAAGCCGGATTTCCCTGTTATCCAAGATTTGCAATATTCAGATGTTTTTTCAGCTAAGCAATAAAATGATTGAACCAATGTCCTTATAAAAAAAAAAAATTTAAAAAACAGTCTATGTTCTCTTTAAGTTTCTTCTCCTCACAGTACCTGGCCAGCAGAGCAGACTCATCAGGTGCTGTAGTATTAATAGCCCTTCCCAGGGAAGCAACCATGTCAGAGTAATAGTTCTGGACATAATGATAAGCCAACGGAGGGGGGAATTCTGGGAGGCGGAAAACCTTCACTGCTTTCTGAGGAAACTTCAACCCTGGAAGGAGATGGAGACAATTAAAAACAGTTAAACTCCTAATTGATTTCCTTAGATCACCCCAGTCTCCATTAATCCCTTTTCCTTCATCAGCACTCACCGATATCAGGAGTCATCTTCCTGAAGGAGGCTGGTCTGTTGGAGGTGATGGTAGAAACGGTGTCATTGGCAGGTTGCTCCAGGTTAGGCAGGCTGGCTCCGAGCCTCTTGCTCAGTCTGTTATGAGGGCTGGTGTAGTTGGTGTAGCCAGTCCTGGACAGTTCAGACATGGGGGGACGCCGAGGAGACTCTGTCATGGCACGATTCCTGGAGAAAGACACAAGGAGGCACATTTTGAGGTTGTGCTGTCAAGGGGGAGACATCAGTTAGAGTTGTTTTAAGTAGGTTTAATTGTGATCTTTGCCAATATTTATATAATTATATACAGACAATCTCATTTGTATTTATGGGGGGTGCAATCTGAGCAATAAACCCAGATGATTCATGTTTATAGCTGTGGGGACATCACCCATTCCAGTCACTGACTACATGGTGTCTTTATCACCTGGAGGTTACTTCTTTTTCGATAAGCAAATAAAGTGTTTCCTTATTGTGCATTTTCCCCAGTCTCGCAAAACACACACAAACGGAAATGTTTAAAAACTGAATTAATTCCGTGTTTTTCCTGGTTTCAGAGCTTCAGCTTATAATTATTAATCAATAATCTGCAAATAATTTTCTTGTACAATTCATTCATTTCTTAGTGAACCATTGTGTGTTTGTTCACACTAAAACTGACAGAAACAGACGAGGGAAAAAAAGAGACCTAGAGAAAGGAAGTTACAGAAATGTTTTGACTACTACTATTTTACTGAGCTTGTACTTTTCACTGTTGCCTGGTTACAACTGCCCCTTAGCTGTGACATACTTGCATCATACCTCTGTGCATGGTTACGTGTGTTCTGCTCCATGTGGCTGAAGGTGTCCCGTTTCCTGTTCAGCCTGTCTCGCAGGAATGAGTGGAAGATATGAGTGTCTAACACCTGGGGACAACAACAAAGACAAACATGTAACACAGACTGTCAATGATCTATGTGTATGTTAGTGTGTGTGTGTGTGTGTGTGTGTGTGTGTGTGTGTGTGTGTGTGTGTGTGTAAATGTGTGAGTGTACCTTCTTGTAAAAGGACTGGTCTGCTGGCTCCCTGGTCCTCAGAAACTCCTCACTGTTAAAAACTCGGTGTTCATGGTTTAGAAAGTCCTGGACGCCTCTGGTGGGGACACAAGAAAAAGCTACTGTTTCATTTGGACTCAAATTAGTCGAATATATCTGAATGTGTTCAACACAAACTTATACACTAACCACTGTATTTCCTAGAATCTCTATTTGTATTTACCTGAAGATGTTGACCACTAGTTCCAGAGTGATGTTTTGTATCTGTGTGTTAAGGCGTGTCTGCCAGTCTCTGCGTTGGCATCGCAGGGCATTAGCATCAGTGCCCGCACCAAGGTGACACATCTCCAAGTCATAGTGAAGCTGGAGAGACTCTGCCCTGCACACACAGATACCAAGACCTTTATTTAATTCAGACATTTAAACTGTGTTCCTTTTGTAATTTTAATTAGCAGTGTAACTTTATTTCAGAGGTAGATTTTTGTTCCAAACCTGCTCCAACTTTGCTACAAGCTGAGGTTCTGCTGGTGACAGTGGTTAAATAGTGTTTCTGGGTACAAAAGTATTGAATAGTTTTATTTTACACAATGTGACTCAAATAAGACAAACAAACAAATAAAAATAAAAAAATCAACAGAACATACAGCCAACAGTTTACTTTTATATTGGTGTGTGTTTGTGTGTTTGTGTGTGTGTGTGTGTGTGTTACCTTGACATAAAACTCTCCGCAGCAGCCAGAGGGATAGCTGGTAGGTCAAGGGATTCAGACCATGACGACTGAATGATGCCATCATCAATATTCACCAGGATTAGTTCTTCTGTCTCCTATAGACACAGACACACAGACACAGACACACACACACATATTGTAGGTACAATGGGTACAATTCATCAGAACACAGTTGCTCTGTTAGACCAACAGACTGCTACTGTTAAATATGTGAACTAAGGTCCTGTAAGACACTGAGTGGAGAATAAACAGTTACTGTTAACAACTGTATGTGAGTATGTCAGCCAAGACAATTACAAAAAGACAGGTCATTTGAATTACACACACACTAGCAACAAACAGAACTTATAATAAATCTGGTTAAGTAAATGGCCAAGAGCCTTGGGCTCTCTGGGAAATGGACAGAGTTGAAGCAATCTTTGTTTATCTAGTAATTCCACTAGTTCTGACTACTTCTGACCTGTAAAACCATCATTTTGGTCCAATAAACACAAGATTCATTTATAATCATGATATGTCCTCCCTGGTATAGGGAGGAATAACAGTTTGGATATTAACTTGAAGCCAAAATCCCAAAACATCCAACATTGCTCCCATCATGTTGGGCAAGAAAAGGTCACATTTGTCGATAGCAAGAAAGCCAAGACTTTAATCCTCGATGTTGCTAAGAAACAACGTCTGCAGCTTGACCATGAGCGGAGAATGGTTGTACTTACTGCAGCAACCTCTTCAAAATGACTGATGTGACAGCCCATCAAGAAGGCTGTAGGAGCCATGAGAAAGTCCAGCATTCCACTAGCCAAGACAGGAACATAGGGATGCTGCCAGGACAGAGGCTGGAGGAGACGGTAGAAGATCAGAAGACACGTGAAAAGACGGATAAGGGAATATGTCTAAAAGTACAAGTTACTGCAGTTGTAAGACACAATTCTCCTCCTCCACTGACCTGCAGGTACAACAGCAAACTCTCTGCAACCAGAGTGAGTCTGGCCCAGTCAGCAGAGAAGAATACTAGCCTCTGTTCTTGAAGGAGACAGGACAGCACCTACAGAGAGTAGAGCATTAATATTCAGGATATAAGATAAGAAAAAGATAAGATATTCCTTTATTTATCCCCCTTAGGAAAAATTCAGGTTGACACGGCAGCAATGGGGCAAAGTAGTTCAAAAACAGAGAACAAAGAATATCCCAAATAAAAATATACTAATATTAGAAGATATAAAACTATAAATGAAAGTATACACTATGCATTGTTCAAGTAGGACATGGAATGCAAAATATGAGCAGAAAATTAAACTTGACTAAATATATACTTCATGATGTGCTTTAGCAAGTGTGATTGTTCAAATTTACCAAAATTATACATCTAACACAGAAAAAGTACCTTTTTATGACTACATAATACATTTGACTTCAGTTTATATGCCATGAAACACCAGTATCTGTGTGTGCTGCATTACCTGGAGCAGTGTTGTGTGCGTGAAACAGAGGAAAGGTAGATGCAGGTCGATGTCAATAACAGGGCTTTCCTGATCCTGCTTTGATGGAAGAACCACATGGAGGGGACGAAGGCTGAAGGACTAACAAACAGAAACACACACACACACACACACACACACACACACACACACACACACACACACACACACACACACACACACACACACACACACACACACACACACACACACTCATTAGAGTAAAGATTTAGTAACTGAAATTGGTCCCACAGAGAGATAAATACAGACCGAATGAGTGAATGAATGTGAGAGAAAACCTAATAGATATATCAACTGAGACAGACTGACCACATGTAGTTGTCCAGGAGGTGGTAAAGGGACCAGGGACAGCTTGGCTGAAAATTCCTTTATTGTCTCCTCGAAGTCAGCTTGTCTTGCAGGCCGCAACTGGACCAGGAGGCTGAGAAGGTGGAGTCAGCGGTGGGAGATAACAGAGAAAGGGTTTAACTTGTCATCAAATAACCTTAACCAAGGTCCGGTTATCAGTTCTATAATTAATTGGAAGTATTACCATGACAAGCAGTCTCTCAGAGCATTATAGTAGGGGAACTTGGAGATGACACACACAGCGAAGGGTGTATAGAGACGGCACTTTGATGCATTCCACCTGTGGCCATTCTGGACAGCACCTTCCTGACAGGACTGAGAGGGCGGACAGCGAGTGAGGTCTGCAATCATTGGATTCAATCATATGTTTTCTTTCTGTTTACGTGAGAGTGTGTGTGTGTTTGTACCTGTACAGCTCTGTAGTACTGCACAACAACTCCATGGGTTCGGTTCCCAAAAAGGTCAGTGAAAACCAGGAAGTGATAAGTGTCTTCTCTCGGCTCATTGGCTAATTGGAGGCCACCTAGTCAATGGAAAGCAAAAAGTCTCAAGACAGGGCACGATGCAAAGTTGAGCTGTGTGCCATGTGCCAACTCTGAAATCAAACTTGAAATCTCACAAGTTGTTCACATGGGAATTTTTTCCCATCTCTACCATCTAAATGAGAGGAACGCAACATTACATACTTAATTACACACAATATAAATGTCAATGGCCCAATACAGCAACACACCACTCAAGAGTGAGAGGGGTGGAGCTGAACAAATACCTCTTCTCAATGTCTCTGATTATGTGGATGATAATGTGAGATGCACCACTTGAAACATAAAACAGGCCTTATTCAGGACTCGTGTGACAATGAAAGGTGTTGAAACACAGGTTTTGCAGTGTTATTTACATAGAAATGGAAAAGTTGTAACCATGGAAACGACTATGTTGTCGTTACAATAAAAGGCAATGCGTAATCTTATATTGTGGCGCAAGATAGTGATCCATGACGGTAGCCAGTGAGCCAGCATAGCAAGATAAAGAATGAAGATTATGATCCTGGGCCTTAGTTGTTCTGGGTCCAGACTGCCAAGATGGTGATCCACAATGGTAACCACAGAGCAGCAACATCAATCACATTATATCGTTAGATCAATAGCTATCAGCTTTTGACCATGTAATGTCATGTGCTAAAGAAGCAAGTGATGCAGAAGTACTGCCCAAAAACATGTTGGTCTTAGCGAGGTAACAGATGTTGTATTAACAGAAGAAGTAGATGTGTGTTATTCAATTCAGTACACAGTAATGTTAAGTTTATCACACACTGTACCAGGGAAACACAGCTGCGGCAGGGCGATGAGGTCCAGATCCTTTGGAACACTGATGTCCTCTGTTGCTGAGGACACCTCACTACGATTGCCTGTTTCTCCATTAAGCAACGCCTCTGCAGCCCGATCTCGCCGCTTCTGCAAACGAACAACAAATATGGATTTTATTTCTGAATGTGATGCACAAAGATGCCTAAATGTTCTCTAAAAGGACGCCATTTTTTCTAAAAAGAACAGTGTCATATTGTCCATTACCGTGTGAATTTGTCTTTAGCGTTTCGCATAAAAAAATGGTTGTTTACCTTCTTGATGAAGCTCCTCCTCCTCTGGACACGACTGAACGCTGGACCAATCGACTGGCTGGAGTTCGTCTCCTTGGAAACAAAGGGCGGGGCATGGACCTGTAGTACCTCAGCTTCCAGCAGGAGGAGTTCATTTAACTTACCCTGCTGATGGAGCTATGGCATAATTTGGAAATATTTAGAGTTAGGGTTAACATCAAATGTAAAATCTATTCTAATGTCTTTATAATTACTTTGGAAGCTACCACCAATTCAGTTTCTGCGGATTAAAGTGTGAGTGAATATGATGATGTGAGGAATGAATAGGTGAGTAAAAGTACAAAGATGGCTTTGATTACAACATTTTATATGCAGCCGACCAATCAGATCTGTAATGAGGCCTCCTGTTGTACACCATACTGAACTATACTTGACCTTAATCAGGTATTTATTGTATTTCTTAATACTTTCATCATGGCATCCCACCATTACCTATATCAAAGAATGTGTGTTATCTGTTAGATACCATGTGCACCTGTCATTAACATGCTCTTGTTGTTTGTTCATGCTGAGGAGATTAACCCTCCAGGTGCAAAAGTGCTGACTCAAATACAGACGAGCTAAAGCACGGAGGAGAGATTTGGTGATTCAGATGGTTCAGAAATGTATCAGAGCTGCACAATTAGTTGAAATATGGCCATATGCAAATCGCAGAAGCTGCAAGTATTTCAATAAACGGTACAATGTGTTACAAAACAGTATTATATTGAAGTACTGCAGTTCTTAAGAGATACCCTGGCCTACCTATCTTGTTCTCCAGATTTAAGACAGACCTCCCAAAGTTTCAAATCATCATGATTTTAATAGTTCTTTCAGTAAAAAAATAACTTTGTGATGCAACAATGATCATTCCCACATGCATACCATCGCAGTATGATGTTTTTACCATATTGTGCAGCTCTAATCAGATGTAACTGAATGAAGTTAGAAGCATGCATGGTGTAAATGCTTGTGTTTGTT